GGTGAAAAGTCCATGGTTGCTTATGATAAATGTTTCAGCTCCACGCAGTTACGACGCGGCGTTTAATTGTGGTACGTTAAGAGTTGCAAATGAGTTTTTGTAGGATTCCAAATTATTTGGTGCAGTTTTGGTACTGAGATCGTCTGGCTATTACCTTGTCGGCTTACTTTCCTAACGCTTTTTTAACGAATAGCTTCCTTTGGTATTATATGTGAGTGATTGAATTTATTAAATGAGAATCAAGAATTTTGATCAACCTCCTAGACTTTTTATATGAAGTCAAAAATTAAACAAAAAGTTGTTTTTTGTAGTTTTTGTTTTTCAATTCAAGTTATAAAATTGGTTCAAACATTTGTTCTTTTGGTTGTAAGATCTGCTTAAACAGGTTATAAGTTGTCTGCTGTGAATTGAAAGAATCAGTACGTTGATTCTATAATTTACCTAAAGCCATTTACTTCAAAACGTTTTTTTGCTTCAGTTTTCTAATGCTTTCTGGTGAGTTCGCACTTAACCGCTTTTCGGCTTAAGTCAGTTGTAATCGCCAAAATTTTTTAGTTGAACAATGTCTCATAAAGCTATTCCAAGCAAAAAGTCTGCCTCGTTTTTTCGTCCGCAATCTTCCGCCTCTTCATTTTTTCGGCTTAGTTCCTGTTGCACGGATACTTTTAAAAGATTTTGGGTGGTTACCGCTACGTACTTTTTGTTCTGATGCAATTTTAACGTTCAATTGTTTTTTTGACGTTTTATTTGTGTTAAAAATGATTTTTATTCCAGACATTTTGATACAATTTTCAGACAAATTGATACAATTTCCAGACAAATTTGATACAAGTCGGTTTGATTTCCGATGGGGTCTTGCATTAGGTACTTAGAAAGAACTCGGTGATAATATATAAGCAGTACATTTTAGCAGTACATTTTGGTTGATTTTCTGCTTATTGGCTCTAGGTTTTAGTTTTTACGAATTGCCGGTTTTATTATAAATTGAAATTAATCTGCTGAAAGTTATGTAAATAAGAGCGTGAAAATGGCGCGAAAAAACGAACAATTTCTAATTTCGAAAGTAGAATTTAATTTATAGATTTCCTGCGGAATAAAAATTTTACTTATTGATCCTGATTTCGAAGTCAAGTCAATGTTATCTAAAAAGCGCCAATCATAAAATGTTCTAGAAATTCAAAGAAGTTAAAGTGCATCTATTTTTATCTTCGAAATTTGTAAGTTGAGATTTTTCAACAAAGTCAGTGTTTTTTCTTTTCTTGCGTTCATCGCTCTTTTCCGACTGTCAGTTGGCTACGTTCAATGGTATTGCTCATAGCTAGCTGCCCCGAGCTCTTAATAATGAAAATAATGATAAAATTAAAGTATAGATAGATAAATATGGGTAGATAGATTTTGGTAGCGAATCGCCGGACAGCTCAAATTGCTGCAAAGTTTATTGGCATTGTTTTCTCAGGCTTGTCGAATGTGTTTGAACTTCATACAGTCGTGCAGTCACAATCCTCCTACTCTCTCAGTCTGAAATTGGTAGAAGCGCTAGATCGAGAAACAACCGAGTTGTACGAATTTGAACTGTACGCTTTCGACGGTAGCCTCCAAACTCAGGACACCCCGCTTTCAGAGTTGATAGGTTCAGCACCAAATCCTCCTGCTGTCCTGACTATCAGTGTTAATGTCGGTGATGTGAATGACAATGCGCCACTTTTTGCCATCACTGATTATTACGTGTCTTTTAAAATACCCGTGGCAAAGGATTCTTTACTGGTTCAGGTAAGATGTCGTCTCTTCTTTATCTTCTTTTTTTATCGCCACTTTTCTTGTTTTCTTTTTTCTTCGTTTTGACCGAATTATAAACTATGAAATGACTGCTCAAGTTTAATACCACTAGCAAACTTTGCTAGGTCTTGAAATCAAGGTCATTGCGAAACTTGGATGACCTTGATAGAATAGGGATTCATAATTTTTGAAGCGTAAAATTTGTTGTTTGCAGGTCGAAGCGACTGACGTAGACAGTGGTAATAACGGAGCAGTGTCATATTTTGTGGAAACAACGTCAAATTCTGGACAATCTACTGGCCTTTTTTCCGTTTCTCCTCAGTCGGGGCGACTGACTGTGACAAGGGAGTTCGAATCGAGCAGCAATTACTCAGAAATTGTAACAGTTGCTGCTAGGCAAGTCCATGTTTCATATTTTGCGAAGCCTTTTAAAACGAGCCTTTTGCGGATGACTTTTCGTTACCGGTGGCCTTATAATTTGATTTAACTCTTTCTAGTCGGGAACAGCAAATACAATAATGAAAGGCAAATTTTGATTAAAGCTTTCTTTAACGGCGTTAGATGGTTGATATTAGTAATCTTTTAATGCTTGCGATTAGAAAGCGTTAACAGTGCAAAAACTTTAGTTGTCGAAATCTTTTTTTAAGTGTAAAAGAATGAGATATATTTTTTTCAGTTATATAGGTCTTGATGATTTTTTGTTGGTTTTTGGCGGTTTCACATATGATTTCTCTTTATGTTCAATTCATTTCCTTTCTTAAGTGAAGGCAAACTCCACCATCGAGCAACAAAAGTGAAAAGGTCACAAAAACACGATCGACTTCTAGTTTCAAAAATGGACATAATATTTCTCAATTCCCAGCAAGAAAAATTGCCTTATGATCCAGTTTTTCTCTAAATGGGATAACTTAATGAAAAAAATATCGGTAGCATAAACAGTATTTGAAACTCAAAGAGCCTCAACGTGATATATTCTTTTCTTTGAAAGTTTTTTCAAGGTTTTTTTTGTTCCTTACACTTTTCCAACTGTCTGTCAGCTATCTTTTTGTTTTTGAACGCAATGAAGATACTGGAATAGGCCTTCTTCTGTTTTTCGAAAAATTCGTTTGAATTTGTTAATACCAAAATTGGTCCTTTGCGGTTTGACTTTTGATTAATTTTTGAAGCTCAGTTCAAATGTGTTTGCTAAAAAAAACAAATTACGCTCTCAAAAAAGAAACCAAATTACGCTCTCCAAGACAGAAATGGCGTGAAAAACGTGAATGGCTTGTGGTTCGACGATGGTTTTAATTATTAGAGTCGATGAACGTAGTTCAGACTCTTATATAGATCGTGATAGTTTTTTTTTTTGGTTTTTTAGGAAAAGTCTTAAAATGCTCCAATATTTTACAGAAGTGCATTTATACATATGAATACATTTATAAATGCTTCTAGATATATATGCATTTTTTGAGATCAATTCATTTTCATCTCGGAAAAATTTAAGTGAGCTGCGCACTCCATTTACGAAAGTGTAAAGTTACGAAAAACATGATCGTCTTCTATTTTTGACCTAATGATCCAGGTTTCTCAATTTGAGTTGATTTTATGAAGAGTAATGAAAGTAGTGAAGACTCTTATATAAGTCTTGGTATAGAAGTATTTTTTTGTTTTGTGGAAAAAGTCTTTAAACTCCCTAAAAATTACAGATGTGCATTCAGGCATAATAATGCATTTAAGAATGCACTTGGGTATATATGATTTGAGTTCAATCGAAATTCATCTGCTGAAAGTGACGTAAATAGCACTCTTCAAATACGAACGTGGAAATGGCGCAAAAAATGTGAACGATTTCTAGTTTCGAAAGTTGAAATTATTTCTTAGATTTCCAGCGGAATAAACACTTTATCTGTTGATCCAATTTTCTTTTGGGTAATGTTATCAAAAAAGCGCCAATTGCAAATAGTTCTAGAAATTCAAAGAGCTTAAAGGACATCTATTTTTTTTCTTTGTAATTCAAAAGTTTAGGTTTTTTCAACACAGAAAGTGGAGGTTTTTTCTTTATGTTTACTTGCGTTCATTATTTTTTTCCTAAATCCATAATAATGTTTATATAATGTTTGTATACATAATTCTAATTTGTACATTTATTTATTTATATATATTGAAATTTTCAAGTTTTTGAAGGTCTTATTAATTTTTTTTGGCTCAATGAGCGTCTGCCCAAGTATTGATTGCTTAGTTTCCGCTTCTATAATTTTAATTTAATACCCATTTAACGCTGATAATCTACAACATTTCTCCTCATGTTTTCCTACAATTCAACTTCACTAGAGACAAACGCATGAATTTTTGGGAGATAATTTTTTTCGTCGTTTAATCGATGATTTTTCGGTCGTACGCTTTTTGTCTGAATATCTTTCGGTGAGCTGCCATGCTATGTTTGAGCTGTTTCGCAAGTGGTGCGAAGGTCTGCTTCGCCGTGTCAATTAATTCATCGTTTTAGGGACTCGGGAAGCCCTTCTCAGAAAAGCCAATGTCGAGTACATGTCCTATTCTATACGGCAAATGCACATGCTCCAGAGATCACAATAATAGGAGCTGTGGACAACACAAACGTAGTGCCGTTACCGGAAGATACTGAAGTAGATGGATTAATTTGTTCCATTCAGTGCATTGACAAAGATGAGGCAAATGCAGGCACTGTCAGCCTGTTCCACTTCCAAGAAGACCAGGCTCCATTACCCTTCAAGGTGAGAATAACTCATTAGGAATGTCACAAAGCTACAGCTAAAAAATACTTCAGCCATCACAGATCAGGTTTAGGTTTCAGGCATCGAAAACGAGTGACTTCTATAGTTCTTAATGTTTTTCAGCTATGTTGTCTTCAAGTAGTTTCAATTCGGCTGTAAATTATTTTATGCACCTTCGGATCTATGCACCTTCTCAAACTTTTGTAGATCCAGCAGGTAACTAGTTCGACGTGGAATACAGTGCTGGTCGAAGACGTGGACTCCAGACTAGACTCCCAGTTTAGCCTCCAGCTGGTGTGTATCGACAATGGTAACCCGAAGAAATCGGCAGTGGAGACAGTGACCTTTGTAGTCACTCGGGTCACCCAGTTGGTGCCCCAGTTTACCCAAGCCAACTATACTGTGCAAGTGGCAGAGGACGTCCCCACAGGCAGTCTCATTGAGCAAGTAGAAGCAATTATCGAAAATGACTCGACGAACAGTGTGATTTACCAAATCGAATCTGGTAATGAGCTGACGTGGTTCACGATTAATCAGCAGACAGGTGAGAAAACCTATGGAGAAATTTTTTTTGTACAAAAAAAAACAGGCGAGGCATGTAATACGAATTCAAATAACTTTATGGATGATATGTTTTAAAGTATTAAAGTTTTTTTTTCCCAAACAATAAATAGCTCTGGAAGACTGTGTTGATCTCTCAAAGGCGTGCAGAAGGTTTCATGTATTCTTCGAAGTTAGAAGACAAAAAGTAGATTGATTGATACTTGTAGTATTGAAATAGTTTTAAAAAATACGCTCTAAAAACATTGGTCAATAATAACCGTTCGTGAGCTGTAGAGTCCGCTGTATGTTGCACTATCATGTTTGCCGAGGTTTTGTTCACTTTAATTTTTTTTACAGAGTTTTGATGTTAATCCTGAAGGTAAGCCGCGCTCTTTCATGTTGAATGATCTATTGTGATCTTAGTGTCATATCACAGTCATTATTGCCACACTCACCTTCCGAGTAATTTGCATGTTGTGCATACTTCGTCGTTGTTGAATACGGTGTCCGGCAAATAAGACGACAACTGTTAAGACGACAAGAGTTATTGATGATCTTTATGGCGACGCTACACACATTTCTCCGATTGTATTTCTGTGAAATATGAACCGCTCAAATTTGAACCGCTCGTTTGTCGTCTTAATGTCCTGTAGTCTTCTTTTTTTAGCACCGTTGAATACATCACGGCTAAAACCTTCGTTCAAAATCAAGCTCTGTTTCTAGGTACATATATTTGTGAATGTCAAGTCTCATGAAGTGCTCTGCTGTAGGTCTGGTCACAACTCGGATGCCACTGGACCGCGAGCAAGTTGACCAAGTTGTCCTTAACGTCTCAGTCCTGAATGTTAATGGGGGAGGCGGAACTACCTCGGGGCCAACCAAGAGTTTCGCAACAATCAAAGTTATAATTCTAGACGTGAACGACAACAGTCCGGCTTTTTGGAACCTTCCGAACAGCATAGAGGTAAAAGAAGACGAGTTAGTTGGTCAGCTGCTGGTTACAGTTAATGCCTCAGATTCAGATGAAGGACTGAATGGGAGAGTGACGATGCAAATAGTCCAGGAAAACTCAGATATTTCAGGACCGTCTGAAATGTTCGAGTTAGATTCCACATCTGGTGAATTGAGATTGACGGCTAGCTTGGACCGGGAGGAAGTCGACTCTTTCGTGGTCACGATTGAAGCCAAGGATGAGGGCGAAGGAAACGCAAAAACTACAACAGGATTCTTGACCATCAATGTAATTGACGTCAATGACAACGCCCCGAAGTTCTACCCGGAATTATACTACGTTTCAATCCCAAGCGAATCAGTCGAACAATCAGAAATTGCCGCAGTTTCTGCTAGTGATGATGATTTAAATCACGATATCTATATTGAATATTCGATCCTTTCTGGAAACGAAGCTGAACTCTATGAAATTGATAGAAAATCTGGTGCCATTCGCTTCATTGGAAACTCAGAAGACTTGACTCCCGGGTCTAATTTTGTTCTGCGAGTGTCTGCGCGTGATCAAAATGGAACTGGCTTGAAATCTTCTAACAACGCAACCGTCCACATTGTAGTGTCTTCAGGCGATAATGATGGCTCAAAAGTACAATTCATGTTTCAAGAATACACTTTCTATGTATATGAAAACACACTCTACCCAATTATTGGAAGTGTAAACCTCAAAATCCCTCGTGACGGAACAATCGAGAGTAATGACATTGAATTTAGCATTTCTCAGGGAGACCCGGGAAATTTGTTCGTGATAGATCGAAAAACCGGACTGTTGGGTCTGAACGACCAAAGGCGTCTAAATTTTGAGATAATGTCAAAGTTCTTTCTGAAAGTTAGTTGTCGCTTGAACGATACTGTGCTGACAACTAATGTCTCAGTTCACGTCATGGATAAAAACGATCACGCGCCCGCATGGCCTAGCAATGTGATATCAGTTGGTGTGTCCGAGCTAGCACTGCCCAATAGTGTCATAGCTACTTTAGGAGCAACAGATGAAGATTCAAAAAATCAAGTATTTTTTGAGCTGGTGGAAGACCATAGTAACATGTTCTATGTGTCTGGACAACAACTGAAAAATGTGAAATCACTAATTGATTACGTCGATCAGACTCTAGTGGTGAAGGTTTCTGCTTATGACAATGGGGTTCCCTCTTACAGCTCGTTAGTGACTTACAATATCCATGTTCTGGATGAAAATGACATTGCACCTGTTTTCAACACTCCTTTGCTCCCTGATGATCCAGAAAAAGCCTTTGATGACGACAGGTTTATCTTTGAAATATCAGAATGGACGCCAGTTGGAAGCATAATTTTTATTTTGAACGTTACGGATGGTGACTACAGAAAGAACTCGGCAATTAGCTTCTCTCTGCAGCTCGAGAGAACCATTCCACCGTCGAATACAAGGAAAAGCCCTTTTGGAGTTTTCCCGAATGGACATTTCTACCTCGCACAATCAGTGGAAGACGAAAATTTGAGGTTTGACTTTTATGAAGTCAATGTGGTGGCCGAGGATAATGGAGTTCCTGGCAAAAGGACGACGCAAAAAGTGGTGATACAGATTTTGGATGAGAACGACAACCGACCACTCTTCCACCAATCTCAAGTTGTGTTCGAAGTGAAATCGGACGCTCGGAGTGGTGAAGTTATTGGTCAGCTGAAAGCGGTAGACAGGGATCGAGGAGTGAACGGGAAGGTGGCGTATTTGCCGATTAAACAAAACCCACCTGGTGGAAACTTGTTTCAAATAGATTTATATTCTGGCGAAATATACACCGTTGCTGATCTGCAGAAATACTGCGCCAGAGAGACTACATTCAATGTTTCTGTCACTGATTTGGGGAGTCCTCCACTGAATGGATCGGTTGAGGTCACGATTAAAGTTAAGAAGGCGCAAAAGGTTGAAGACTTTTTTGGCAAGTTCAATGCAAGAGTGTTTTATGCTCGTGTCACAGAAAACAACGGAATTAATGAAGAAGCCTTGCGAATAGAGTTTGATGGCGAAGATAACGACTTATCGGGGTTAGTCTACGAGTTTTCAATGGTCGATGGAAGTTTTGAACCGAACGAATGGAATGATGTTATTGTCCTTGACCCACAAACAGGCATGGTAACAATGAATGAAATAGTAGATCGAGAGGCAGTAGGAAGCTGGATGAAGTTCGACGTAGCCTTGAAATCAGTGTTTGAAGCAGAAGTTGTGCATACTGACCTTGCACATGTGATCATTAAAATTGAAGATGAAAACGACAACGCACCATTACCTGTAGAAGTTAACGGAAATATAGTTGACCTTTCCGTGTCTGAGAACGCGGTTCCGGGAAGCAAAATTGCATCGGTGACGTTCACTGACAAAGACGAGGGCTTAAATGGAGTTGTTTTGTACACACTAGAAAGCACAGCTGAGTTGCCATTTGACGTAATAAGTGACACAGGGGAGATATTTCTGACCAAACGACTAGACTATGAATCTGAAGACAGTTATGACTTTGAACTACTTGCGTCAAACCCAGTGGCAAGTTCACAAACAAGCTCTGTGCGCGTTAGAGTCAACGTTGAAAATGTGAATGATGAGTATCCGCAGTTTACTCAGACGCAAAATGTGTTCTTTGTTCCTGAGACGGCGTCTATTAACACACTAATAACACAAATTCAGGCGACCGACAAGGATTCGACTGAAATTACTTTCTCAATGCTAGTCCTCAGTCCGGTCTTGAATGTTGCCTTTGAATCTTTTGCCATTGATTCGAGCAGCGGAGCAATCAGAACCTCAAAACAACTGCGTCCAAATTACTTCCAAGAAATCTACCAAATTGAAGTTTTTGCATGTGACCAGGACAGCTTATGCTCGAGAAAAACAATCGAAATAAATGTACAAGAAAATTTATTCGACTGTGAACCTGAAGTCAAGTTCACGTCAAATGTTGTAAAGTACCTATCGACTACTTCAACAGAAAACGTGCTGTTCAGAGTTGGAGCTTCCGTTGAATCACGAAGCATCAACCTTGCTTATGAACTGTCATCGAATCATCCATTGACAATCAATTCGTTAACTGGAGACGTGTCAATGCAATCAGAAGCAAATCGCGGAACAGCAGGAGACAGATGGACGTTTGATGTCACCGCATTTGATCCCCAGAATACATGCGTTGGTTCAAGTCAGCAAATCGAAATCTTCTGGATGCTTGACTCGGAGTTGAATTCGTTGAATCTGCAGCTCTCTGGAAATGGAAAGGTCGATGAAAATAGTGAAGACAGTTTTGGAGTTCTATCTGTTCCAACAATAACAAATGACGAGCATGCGCAAGCAAATATAAGGTTTTCTGTTAATTCTATTTGGTGTGAACAAACGGACCAAGATAGAATTTCTGAACTGGTTTTAAACTTGCCTCTCGATTTGCTCAAAATCGACCAGTTAACAGGTGTAGTGCAACCCTCAGTACCAATAGACAGAGAACAGCTACAATGCCCTGATATGGTTACGCAATATGAAGTTTACGCGAATGGTCAGACTGGGTATTTGGAAACTAGATTGGAAGTTGTTAATATTAATGATGTGGCGCCTGTTTTTGACCACAACTCAGTAGTGGAGGTCAAAATTCCCGAGAATGCTGAAATTGGCTCAAATGTCTGGAGCTTCCGCTTTGTAGACGAAGATTCGCCTGCTTCTATTGCCTTAGTATCTCAGATTCCGGACCTAAGTTTGTTCACATTGGATCCAACTGGAGTGTTGATGCTTGAAAAAGACTTAGACTTCGAAACAATGCCAAGAATATACAATTTGACCTTGAAAGTAAGTGACACCGATTTCGACACAATGGCAGTCGTGATGATCGAAATAACCGAGGTGAACGAATTTGCTCCGAGATGCCTCAGGATGAATCAAGAAATAGAAGTGGCTGACTTTCTCTTCCTCTCAGTGCCTGAAAATTACCCGCAGTTGTCATCAGTGGGGAAAATAAATGTCGAGGATGAAGATTTGAACCAAAAACTTTTCCTATTCACACTTCTCAATTCTAAAGAACCTTTCGAGATAGATCCAAAGAGTGGGCACATACGCACTTCGAAGGTACTCGACGCAGAACAAACTCGATTTTATGGCCTCAGTGTTGAAATCTGCGACCTTCCGAATCCTCAAACAATCCTCAAGTCAGATAATTCCTTGTGCAATGTGTGCGAAGTTCTAATTGAGGTAGAGAACGTTGATGACAATGAACCAGACTTTGATGGCTCAAATGGAAAGATGCTCATAGAAGCCTCTGTTGAAGAGAACATGCCGGTGGGAACCTTCGTGGCATGGATCAATATGACGGACGCCGATGTCGTTTTCGCCAGTGGTAAGTCTCAGTTACGTGAAATGTGAATAGAAATCGAAAAGTGTCTGCGATAATAAGTTGGTCGTTTTTGTTGGCGGGTGGTTAGGTAATTTGAATGACAATCAATCGTAAGGTGGGACCGTTGCTGTCTCAAATGAAGCTCTTGTGGAGTTCAAGTAAGGTTGCATAATATAGCCCTCTTAGTCTTGTTTCGGATTCTCAAGAAGAAATTTCATAAAAAGTCCCGAAAACAAAGAAATTTTTGCTATCCAGACTCAAATTTTACGAAAAGTGGAATATTTCTCTTCATCTCTGCTATAAAATGTTTCAAATTGTAAAAATGAAAAAATATATAGTTCGTATGCTGAAAAGGATAGTGAATATGCTGTTTTATCAATTGCAGCTTTTTGTTCCGACTTTCGATACGAAAGTAACGGAATATTTGTGCTCGGGTGGGTTTTTTTTTCTTCAGACAAATTTCGACTTTTTAACTAGCCATTTTTGACGGAAATTTTTTATGTCATTCAAAAAGTATTGTTGTCCTGAGCTGAAATTTGAAAAAATATTTCGCCTGTGGTCGTTTCGTAAATTTATGGGGGTTTAAAGATTGCCATTTTGGCCAATTTGGGACAATTAACGCGCGATATAATTCGCGATTTTAACGCGTAAGCGGAGATTTAATCCGCCGTCTTAGAAATTGTTCCAAATCAGTTGAAAGAAGCTTATTTGCCCTAATTGATTTGTTGCAAGGAGCGAAATCTATCCTTTTGTTCTTTATATGCCGTGTGGGGGAATGATTTTCATTAAAAAAAATTCAAGTTTTAGAAAAAAAATTCATTTTATTTTATTACATTTAATTTTTTAAGGTTATTACTGCTCCATAAACTTTAAAAGGCAGTCGGAACATTCAGGGCTTTGCCCTGATACGAGCAGTCTTGTTTTATTTTGAAAGCAGACAAGAATTCTCAAATTCATTTTTCGCAAAGATAGTGGTAGTCGGGATGTTCTGTGCTTCTTGTTTTTCGACCGGCTACTCTTGTTGTTCCGACTATTGAAAATGGGAGGAATTTTGTCTTGGAGTGTGTTTTAGTTTTCTTTCTGATTTAAAGAATCGAAGAACGTAATTGCTTCTAGATATATATGCGCTGTTTGAGTTTAACTCAATTTCATTTGCTAAAAAATAGGTATGTTGCGCTCTCGCCCGATTTTACGAAAGTGAAAACGTCACAAAAACGTAATCACGTTCTACTTTCGAAAGTAGAATTTAATTTCAAGCTTTCCAAGCGGAGAAAAAATTACCTATTGATCCAGTTTTTCAAATTGAGTAATGTTTATCAGAAAAGTGTCAATCACAAATTGTTCTCAAAATTCATATCTTGAGTTATATGGTGATTGATTTCTCGTGTAATTTGTATTGTTCGGAAGTGGTTTTCCTGAACTGTTATTGCTGTATACATTTTTGTTTGGTAGATTTTGATCTTTCTTCATGTATTGATAGAATGATTTATTTGGTTCTTTATATTTTTGAGGTTTGTTTTGATTGTCCTGTTGTTTTTGTCTACATTCAGAAATACTATGTCCGTATCGTCGGCAATAATTACACCATTTTTTGAAAGATGGTTTGCCTTTAAAGTTTGGGTGTTTTTCATAAATATTGAGTATTTCAGTGATTTTTTCAACGAGGTCTGTATCTGATTCCTGTATATTGTTGATATTTTTGGTATTTGTTTCAATTCGATTAACATATTGTAATTTCAGATTTTCTGTTTCTTCAAGTTTCATTGTGATTTCCGCTTGCTCTAGTTTGTCTACTAGTTTTCGAAAATCTAAATCGGGCTCTCGAATTGAGGAGGGATGGGATGCTCTCTTTTTTATTGCTATTTTCCTTAATTGAGGTGTTAAGGTCATCATTAAGATTTCTGTCATTTTTGTGTTTTTATAGTCGTGTGTATTTAATGAATATGCTTTTCGAACTAGTGTTTCGATACGTACTGCTAGTTGTTTGATGGTTTCATTTGGTAATCTGCGAATTTCATTACATAAAACTCTTTGTTGTTGTTTATTTCTCTCGGAGTCAAACATTTTTGAAAATTCTTGTGTAAATCTTTTCCAATTTGATTTTTATTTCTATAGGCAATACTGAAAACCATTTTTGGGCCGCGCCGTCTAAGGTTTTCTGTATCAACGCTGTGCGTCGATGTATCCAATTTTGATGTAGTGGCGTATTAATTGGTTCAGGTCCTATATTTAAAATTAAATTTGCTGTTACTGCATTTAAATAATCTTCTACAGAATATTCAGGGTCTGTTCCTGTGAATACCATTAATGGTTTGTTTGATGTTATTGATGATCCACCCATAAGGTATGGATTCATTGTCATTTGTAATGATTCTGCGGCATTTGGCATTTGTGAAAAATTTGAAAGTTGTTTTTTTGTTATTTCGTGTTGTTGGTAATATGGGAGTGGTATTTCATTTTGCATTTGTGTTGGTTGATACGAGTGTGTAATCATTGGGTTTTGTGGCTGAGTTGGTTGAAAAGATTGTGTATTAATTGGGTTTTGCATTTGTATTGGTTGTTGATTTTGTGTATCTATTGGATGTGGAGAAAAAATTCTATGATATGTATGTGGTTTCTGCACTCTTTGTCCACGATATTCTTGAGTATATGGTGCAAATATATCTGGTTGTAAATAATCATCATCAGAGGATAGATAATCCGTTTGATGAGATGCTTGTTTTTTATTTTTATTCTGTTGAAAGAATGGGTAATTTTCACTACGATCCTGTGGAGGATGTGAATTAGTTTGAAAATTTACTGAGTTGGTTGTTGCCATTGGGTTATCCCAATATTGAGATCTTATCTGATTATTTTTTTTTTTCGTGGGGGATAGTTTGTTTTTGATGAATGTGCGTAATTATAATTGTGTTCCGCAAAAGTGTTTCTTGTGAACGTTCTGCGTGTTTTTGACGGTATTGTCATGGGTCTATATGTTTGATAATCCATTTGTGAATATTTTGGAGCAACCGAAGGCTTAACGATTGATTGTAAGGTTACCTGTGCTAGTGAAGTGTTTGTATTTCTTGGTGTTGTTAAATTTGGACGTATCGGTGAAATACTTTGTTGTGTAGTTGTTGTTGTTTGGACGATTTCTTCATTTATGAAGTGTGATGGTGTTTGAATATCTTGTTGAGTGAGATTCCTAGTTCCATTAAGGTTTTCATTGTGTATGACGGTCGAATTTAAACTGTTATTTCGCGTATCAGGTAAAAATGTATTGTAGTTTAATGGTGTTGCATCAATGGTTAATGGTACTACTCTTACATAATCTCTTGCATAAGATATTGTACTTATTGCTTGACTTGAGATTGATTGTGGGATATTTATGAATGCATAATGAGACCATTCGGGGTCCCAAACGTAGTCTGACTGTTCTGTGATGGCGGTATCATCGTTTGAATTTTGAGGTCTGAAATTTTTTCTTGCTTGTGAAATTAAATCTATATTATGTGTGAAATAATCTATTATAAACCATGCCAAAATTTTTTGTAAGTCATGTTTTGCATGTTGTGAAACTTCATCTTTAGTGAAAGTTTCTTTAATTATATGTAGGAAAGTTGAAAATAGTGTGATTTCATGTCGTACCCTTATATGTTTGGATTTCTCTGTCGGTGAGACATTTGAGATTGGGGTTTCGTTTTCTAATATTGAAATATAACTATATATTATTGCAAAAACTTCATTAGTAAATATGGAGTTTGCTCTTTGTGAGTTATGATATTGTATGCTTTTTATATATTCTAAAATACTTTTGAAAATTCTAAGTCAAGATCGTCTGTTTGAATTACATATCTGCGGTGATTCGGGTTTGGTGTACTGAATTTTATGGTGTAGATTCCGTATTGTTGTGTTAAATTACATATATCTTTCAGATAGTGATCAATAATTTGTCTTTTGATTTTTACATCTGGGAACTCTGCTTTACATGGGCTGATTCCGGGTTCAAACAAATTTAGGAGGAAGTTCTTGCAAAGATCATGTTGTCCTCTATTATCGGGTGCATCTACGAGGAAGGGGTAGATATCGTCATCATCTGGACTATCTTCACTTGGAGTGTGTGTTTGGCTCATTTTTTCGTTTAATGACTGTTAATAGGTAATTATCGATGTGTCTAATTGGTTGATTCCAATTATACAAGTGTACTGGTTTGTGTTTATATTGCTTTTTTATTCTTCTTTTTCCTCTTTTTGATGAATTTGAAGTTGTTTCTGAGTCGGAAAAATATAATTGATCGTGAATGGGGCAATTTTTATCAATGGATTCTTTTAATTTATAAAGTTCGTCTAAATTGCTGGCTTCTGATTCTGAAAATGCGTTTCTATTTTTTGAAAATCTTTTTCGTGTGATTTGTCTTTGTTTGGTTATTATTTTCCTTTTTAGTGTTTGTCGTTTTGTTCTAATATATCCAACTGTTTGTGTATGAGGTGTGATTACAAGGTCGTATTTTTTGTTATCTATTTCACAGTTGTGTAAAACGATTGTTTGTTTTTTTCCTAGATTTTTAAATGACATAAGGTTTAGGATGACGGATGCAAAAAGTTGTTAGATGATTTTTATTTTCTTAAACTGTTAGTCCTTACGATTTTTTGGTTAGCTTAACCTGGGTCTATTTGTTCAGGGTTGGAGAGAAAAGTATATCGATTCCGAAGAATGATTTTTTACTTTCTCGTGGCTAGTATAAGCTAAGGTGTTAACTTACTTAATCTTACTTAGGGGTAGTGATTGTGTTCAAGGGTTGGAGAATAGTAAATCGATCCACAAGGTTCAGGTATAATTAGAACGCAAGTAGTTCGTTAGATACTATTTTAAACTTACTAAGTCTAAGATTTATCCTGGGCCTGGTAAGAGGAGGGTTCAAGTGAAGGATGAATAACCGAAGTTCTTCACTGTTTATCCTAATTTGAATGATTAGTTTTGTTCAAAAATTTCTATTAGTCTTGGGTTTTTTGAAAGGGTTGGAT